GGGGGGGGGGGGGCGCGGTGAGGCCCGGCCTGGGCCAGCTCCCCCCACCCTCGCCGCGCTCCTGACCCTCCTCACCATCGTCCTGCGTGGGCACTGGGTTCTTGATGAACGCGGAGAACCTGTGAAAGACGTCGTTGCCCGCCGTGGCGGACTCCCGGTAGCGGGGCGCCAGGCTGGGGAATCTGCGGGGAAGCAGGGGATCTGTGGTCAGACCCTTGAGCCAGGCCCTCTTCCCTGCGGGGACCCTCAGCATCCTTCCCGGGCTCTGTCCTGGGAGCACCCTCCCTGGGCGCCCCATCATCGCCCCTCCTGCCAGGCCGGGCCCTCACTCGGGGGGCCCCAGCGTCTCCTCCAGAAACTCCTCGATCTGCAGTGTATCTGTTTTGGTGTCGCCATCGTGGAGAAGGATGGGCAGCTGCGAGCCAGGAGCGAAGTCCTTAAGCACATCCGGGGACCTGTGGGCATGAGGCAGGTGGGGAGGCTGCTGGTCAGAAGGGCCAGGGACCAGGCAGCGGTCCCGTGGGGGCAAGGGGCTCACCTGCGGATGTCCACGGTGGTGAGGGTGAAGGGCACGCCCTTGAGGAGCAGGACCATGAAGAGCCGCTGACAGGAAGGGCAGTGTCCCACGCTCTCACCATCCTCGCTTGCCTGGGGCGCATGGAGTAGAGGGTGCCAGGGAAGAGAGCAGACCTAAGAATCCCGCCAAAGGGGACCCTGCCTCCCAGGGCCAAGAGCCTGGAATGATCCCGGGCTCCAGCTTGGTTGGGTATGACCTCGACACGTGAGAGCCCTTGGCGTGGTCCCTGGGAGCTGGGGAGGGGCACAGGGACATGGGGCTGGGACCCTAGCTCTGGAGCCTGGCCCCTTGACCCTTATCCTCAGAGCCTGGGCAGAGGCCAGGCTGCTGGTCTCCAGGCCCCACAGGCGGGTCACAGGGTGGGGTGGGCCGAGTGAGCTGTTTTCTGAGGGATTCACCCTGCCGGACCGGACACTCGGTGCCAGCACACTCGTCGTCCCACCTCCCACGGTGGGGAGGAGGCCAGGGCCTCGCAGCCCCGCACAGGGACCCCAGATCTGGGCAGCGATGTGACCGTCCACGGGGCTGCCTGGCCCAGCCCCCACCTGCCTCACTGACCTCAAGCTCCACGTAGGCCTCGGCCTCCAGCTGCCTGATTGTCGCGTCCCCACCGAGGGGCTCTTCCCCCAGGAGGGCTGGGCTGGGTCCAGGAGCCGGGGCTGGGAGTCAGCACCCCACGCCCTTGGGGACAGCTCACTGGGCCCTTCCCCGGTCCTGCTCCCTCTTTGCTCAGCCTCTGCAGGGCTGCCCGAGCCCACCACAGAGGAAAGGACACAGATGCTGCCTTGGAGACCCACCGCCCACCCTAGAGAGCCCCGGAGCCCCGCACAGCACACTCCTCCCCAGACCTCCCTCCCAGCCCAGCGGCACCTTAACAAACAGCTGGAGCTTAGCCGTCTCTGCCATGGCGAGGAGCTGTGGTGGCCGAGGCAGGGTGGGGATCTGGAGAGCCCTTTAAGGCTCCCGGGGTGCCCCGCCCTCCTGGGCCCAGGGCCCGCCCTGACAAGCCACCTACGCAGGTGGACGAGGCTGTCGGGGCTGTCTGTCAGGGCACCGTGTCCAAGCATGAGGGTGTGACTGTGGGGGCACTGCGTGCTCGGGGCTGGCGGGGCTGGGGACCTGAGCACCCCAGGGTGGGTGTGGGATGGGGGCGGAGAATGGTGGATGTGGAGGCGGGGAGAGAAGGGTGCCAGCCTGGGGAGAAGGCAGCTCTAGATCGGGACCTGCCACCGACCCCCCAGCCCTGCAGTGCACACCCCGTTATCTGTCGGGGGTCCCCAGCCCAGAAAGCCGGGGGGTGGGGAGGAGAAATGAACAGCCTGGCCCCAGCCTCAGTTTCCCTAGCTGCCTACCAGGGCGTTACCAGAGCGTTAAGCCTCCTCCTTGGAAGGGACGCCCGGGACACCACTGTGCTCCGTCTGGCAGAGCCCCGCCCCCAGGCCTGCCCACATTCCAGAACCGCTGCCCGCCTGCTCAGGTAGCTCTTCTCCGCCAACCCTGCACCCCTGCCCTTCGCAATCGGTTCCACGCAGGCTTCTTTCCTTCTCAACCTTTAAAAAGAAGCACCAGGAGAAGGGTGGGAAGCCGCAACCTCCTGACCTGTGCTGCCGCCCGCCCCGCCCTTGGCTGGAACAAAAAAAACTAGGGGACGTTGGGCATACAGCAACCCCCCCCCACCCGACCTGCACCGCCCCCGTCAGGGTGGCCGGCGCCCCCATGGCCTCCTCCCCCAGGGCCTCCAGCCGGCCGGCCCCTTCTGGGACCCCACGCCGTCCAGGACCCCCGGACGCAGCCCGGGTGCGGGCCTGACACTGGGGCTGGGCCCTGGCTCCCCGCCGGGGCTGGGCTTCCAGTCGGAGCACCGGTGTTTCAGCTGCTCCTCTGCGTGGTGGGGGTGGGGGCAGGGCTGGGCCCGCTCACTTCCTGCCTCGATGCCGCACAAAGGCCCCCCACACCTGCACCCGTTCGCCAGATGTCCCGTGCGGATTTCCGCGCCTGTGAAAATACCCTCACACGTCCGTAGGACAAACGGTGAGCTGGACGAAGGACCCGGCGGTGCAGAAACAAGGAAACGCACGCACCCCAGCGGGAAGTGGGGGGAGGCGTGAAACTTCACGCTGCTGTGAAGAAGCACACATCCGCGGCTGCGGTGAGCAGAAACGCGGTAACCACGTTCTCGGTGTCGCTCCGGATGCCCTGTCGGCCGGCAAAACGGGGCATCAGCCCACAGGTGTCCTGGTACACACGAGGGACGTGTAGACAGATCCAGGCCGTCCCCCTGATGCTAGCCCCCTTTCCGTGGGAGAGTCCTGGTTTGCTCACAGGAGAGGACAGAGGGGGGGCCCGGAGGTTTGGTGGTTTTACGCTGAACTGGCGGTGGCAGTCCTAGCCCCCAGCACCTCAGAATGTGACCTGACTAGGAGACAGACTTTTTGCAGAGATCATCAAAGTAAAATAAGGTCATCAGGGGGGGTCCTACCGCAATACGACTGTCCTTGTACACGGGGGAGATTTGGACACAGACCCACATGGACGGGGCGCCACACGAACGAAGGTGGAGGCAGAGGGCAGGGCCGTGCATCTCCAAGCCTAGGAACACGGAGCCTTGCCGGAAAACCACCGGCAGCTGGGGGGCGACTCCGGGGAGCTGGGGCCAGACCCTCGCCCACAGCTGCAGAAGGAGCCAGCCCTGCCCGCACGGTGATCTTGGACTTCGGCCTCCAGACTGTGGGGGGATAGATCTCTGTGGCTTCCAGCGGTGATTCACGGCTCTAGCAAAGACCAGTGAGAGAAGAGCCCCGCAAACTGAAAAGCACTACATAGCAGTCACTGCGAGTCTGTGCCCTGAGCTTTCGGAAAAAGCCACGAGGATGTCCTCCGACTTTTGAATTTTCTACCATGATTTCCTAGTAAATGTTTTTAAATAAATGAGACCAGAAGCTCACGGTCACCAGCCCTAACTGACCCATGACCTACTGGGCGTTGAATAAACCTCCCTGACAGTGCCCCGGCCACATCCACAGAGCAGCCCCTGGAGGGGCCCGGGGGCCTGCTGTCCTTGTCTTTTCACGTCCTTCTCTTCCTTCCTGGGGACGGTTCTCGGCCCACAGTCCCAGGACGTGACACATTAGAAACATTTCTCTCCTGAGCCCTGTCTGTGGGCCCTTCCTGGTGACATTTTAACAGACTTGTCGGGGACACTATGGGGGGGGGGAGGACTGGGGGGCACTGGGATCTGAGCAGGAGCTCTGCCCCCTGAGAGAGCCAAGGAGCAGTGGGCACAGCCAGAGTCCAGATGGGGGTTTCAAAACCCATTTCCCCCCAAAGAAACGGGGCTCCTTGGAAAATTGCTGAATCCAGACATGGGTCAGGGAGGTAATAAGCAGGCCTGGAAATTGTAACAGAAAAGAAGTGCTCCAAAAAATGTCCAGGGCAAGTCAAAAGGACACAGAAGCCACCACGAAGGGGTTCCCACCGGCCACATCTGGGGCAGTTTGAGCATAAGAAAGATGGCAGAATTGTACACTTATAAATGGCTAAGACAGTAAATACTATGTACATTGAAAATATTAGTGGGGCACCTAGGTGGCTCAGTTGGTTGAGTGTCCGACTCTTGAGTTTGGCTCTAGTCATGACGTTCGAGCTCCGTTGTCGGGCTCTGTGCTCACAGCATGGAGCCTGCTTGGGAGTCTCTCTCTCCCTCTCTCTCTCTCCTTCTGTCCCTCTCCTGTGTGACTCTGTCTTTCAAAATAAGTGAACTCGAAAAAACTTAGAGGATAGCAATGACGGTAACATGGTGATTTTTAAAAAAGCCGTGAATCCACAATGATATGTTTCTAAAAGTGGAAATCTTTAAGCAAAATGCCAGCTAATAAATGCAGAAAAGATGAACTCGTTAGAAACCTGACATTTTGCAGCCACCCCCTGGGGTAAAAAGTTTTGGGAGACAAGCTGTTCCCATGGCCCTCCGTCCTCCCACGGAAACTTCTGTGTCCCTTCCAGCCCCCTAGAAGGGGTCTCCGATGGGAGACTGCCCACGGCCAAGCTTGAGCGGTGCGGGCTCTGGGATCCTTCCTTGTGGCCCCACTGTCTCCAGGCTCCACTGCCACCGAGCCCTGCAGTCCCTGGGAGTCCCCACACTGCCCCCAACCTTTGCACACGCTCCACCGGGACGCCAGTCTCAGCCCAGAGACCACCTCCTCCTGAGAGCCCTCCCACATCCTGGGTGAGAGGGACACAGCCCAGCGCACACTGCCCATGGGCCCTGAGTGGGCACGGGGCCCAGGGTCTAGGCCTCAGGGAGCACAGGCCCGAAGGGCGGGCAACCGTGGCTCAGAGCAGCCCATTCAGGACCTGCCTCCGGGCAGGCAGTCTAGGCTATGTAGGCGGGGCAGGGGAGAGGGGTGATGGACAGCCCCCGCCTCAGTCTCCCCATCTGTAGCAACAGCTATTTACAGGGATGAGGGCCCTCCACCCCCCCACCCCAGGCTAACCCAGCCACCTTCCCCTCACGCTGGGCCCACCACTCCGGGATGCTGCAGATGCACCTGTGGGGCAGGGGCCATACCAGCATCAACCGGGCCCATCTTCACCCCAACGCCCCACTCCACACACGCAGGCTGGCGCTGGTTTTTTTGTTCATTTATTTAAAACAAACATCTGTGCGCTATGTACAGGTCTGGCTCCCGGGCAGGTGGGTGTGCAGGGGGCCAAGCTGGGTGGGAGAGAGCAATGGCAGGGGGCAGGGGTGGGGAGGGGATCCGGCTGTTCGTCTGGCCAGCGGGGCAGCTTCTCCGTTCCTGCTGCCCAGCCCACCCCCTTGAGGCAGCCCCTCCCTGGCCCATGCCCACGGCTTCCCTCAGGTGGGGGCTTGCCCAAATGAGAGCAGGATGAGGGGGCCTCTTCCTACAGCAAAATAAATAAGGGCCGGGGGCGGGACCTAACCCAGTCCCCATCCTCAGCCCCAGGCCGGCCCATCAGTCTCGGGTGTCAGAGAAAGGCCCGTTCAGGAGCCAGGCCCGGCCAACAGGGTCTGGTGGCACCTGGTGGCCCTGGGGGTGGTGGGCAGAGCTGGACGGGGGCAGAGGCTAGGGGCCGGCCAGACCCCAAGGCTTTAAGGCAGAGCAGGGTGAGGGTGTGTGCGGCCCAGGGCCAGGCCAACCTTTGGCACAATCAGGGGAGGGCAGCGCAGTGGCCTCAGGCAGTGCTGAGGACAGGTGAGGGGCTGGAGGGGGCCCCCACTCCAGGGCCTCGTGGCGGGCACTGGGGGGCACAGGGTGGGGCCTCGGCCACCGCCTGACTTCTGTCCCCACTGCGTGTCCTTGAGCCAGCGCCTGACGGTCAGCAGAGTGTGTCCGTGTTGAAGGACAGCTGGGCCTGGTAGGTAGACGGCAGGTGAGCCGTGCTGGGGGAGGCGTCCGCTACCCCACGCACCCGCGGGCCTGGGACTGGATCCCCCACCTCTGTCTCCCGTGAGTTCTCCCTCAGTGGCCAAGTCTGGTGGCTCCTGTGTCCCCAGGCTCTGCTCCCCCCTACCCCACCTCTGCTCTGCCCGTGTCTGGAATCCCTCAAGGTTTCCAACGTGTCTCGGGGTCTACAACCAGTCTGTTTCCACCTGTGCCCGGAGCCTCCTGTGTCCACCCTAGTCCTGAGCATCCGACGGATCCCTCAGGGCGGCAGGAGTCCCCGGGGCCACTCCTCTCCAAGCCCTCTCCTTATGCAGAGCCTGAGCCCTCTGGCCAGCCTGGCTGCCCTGACCCTACAGGCCGGGCTCACCCGCTCCTCCTCGAAGCTGATGAGGCCCTCGTCCTCTGTGTCCAGGTCCTCGGGCTCGTCAGCCACGAGTGCCCGCAGCTCGGTGGGGGCGGGCCGGGCCCGGAACAGGCTGAGCAGGCGGCCCAGGGGAGACCGCAGAGCCGAGGGGGGCTCTGTCTCCTGCTGCTCCAGGTTGTCGCTCTGCTTCTTGGCGAAGTTCACAAATACCTGGCGGGCGGGGTGCGTGGGTGGGTGAGCGGGGTGCAGCCCAGGCTGGCCCGATGCGCCGAGCTGGGGCACTCACGTTGTCCAGGGTGGTCTGGCTGACCGAGTAGTCCTCGATGCCCAGCACGCCCGCCACCTGCTCCATCTTGCTGAACACCTGAGCCAGGGAGATGTGCTCCGACTGCAACTGGTACTGCACCTTCGTGTGGTGACGCTCCTGGGGACGCAGGGAGGTCAGAGGCGGCTGGGCGCACCGCCCGGCACCACCCCCTGGGGCCCCGCCCCACCCCCTGGGGGCCCCGCCCCACCTTGAGGACAGCCTCCGGGAAGTTGCGGTTGAAGAACCGCACCACGTCCTTCACGTTCTGGCTGCTCTTCGTCCTCACGGTGATCATGTATCCGTCTCCAAACCTGCGGGACAGGCTCAGGGTCTGAGGTGCCTGAGGCCTCGTCTCTCTCTCTCACGCCTGCCCACTGGCACCCTCGGGCTCGCTCACCGGCAGGTTCTTTCAGGTGCTGGATGCTGCTCACAGACAGCTGAGGCTCACTCTCACCATGATGGCTTTGCAGTCACAGCAGAACAGCGCCTGACTCCTCCATGTTATGGGCTAAGACGAGGGCTGGGAAGCCAGCTGCTGGCTGGGCGGGCATGCCAGTGGGCAGGCATGCATGGGGCTGGGTGGCGACCTGTGCAAAGCACGGGCCAGCACCAACGGTGCCACTGGCCTTGATGAGGTCGAGGATGAGGTTCCAGAGGAGCTGGCCTGGGTCCATGCCGGTAGGCTCATCATCCATGGCGGGCGTGCCAGGCTCAGCGGGTTGTGGCTGATCTCGGCCTGGTCTCGGCCGGGTCGGCCCCTCACTGCCTCACCAGGGAAGATGAAGGCCGGGTAACTGATGAGCTAATGGTCGGGACAGTTTGCGCGCTTTTGTTGCCCCTGGCCAGTAGGTGTCAAATCGCCGGTTTGCTCATGTATCACTCAGCCCTCCAGCTTCTCCAGGGTCTACTTCACCACCTGGGGATGAGGATCTTCCATGCCAGGGCCTGCTCCCCTGCCCGCCACGCCCCTGCCCCTTTACACCCCCTCACCCGGCCTGGCCCCTTCCAGAGGGAATGCCACGGAGCCAAAGCGTGCAGTTAGCGCCGCTGCAGGTGCTTCCCGGGGTTGAGTCGCTGAATAGGCGTCGGAACAGAAAATTTCAGACTTGCTGTGCCTGAGTGTGCCTGGGAGCAATAATTTGGGACATTATGCTATCAGCACCAGCGTCGCAGAAGTCACCTCACTCCCCCCAGGCGCTTCACCACCAAGACCAGCTCAAGTGACAAAGCGGCCTCGCCTCTGTCGTACTCGTCCGTCAGCATCTGAAGCAGTTGGTCTTGCCCGCCACAAGCCCAGGAGGCCAAAGCGCAGCATCAGCCAGGACGCGACGCCCCAGGCACAGGCTAATTCACAGCCAGGATGCGCGCTCATTCTCCGGGACTTGTACACCTGGTGGAAGGGAAGGTCGCCCACCCATCCGGCTGCCAGTCGGCTGGTCGGGCCCTGAACTAATAATCAGCTTCTGGCTCCACCCCCTGTCTGCAAACACATCACTTCACCTGCCCCCGCCCCCACACCTGGGTCCCCGCCCCTACCTGCAAACATGTCTCTTGACTCCCGGGCCCGCCTCTCTCTCTGGAAACACGCCCACCTGGGCCCTGGTACACCCTCTGCTGCCCTGCCCCCCCCCCCCCCCCCCCCCCGCTGGAAACATACCCCATGGGCCCACCTTGGTCAGGTTCTCAATCTTTGACCATGTCATTGTCATGCCCTCAAGAAAGCACTGCTGCCATTACATCCACATCATCCTCCACAGGTTTGGTAGACACTGGCACTGCCTGTGGGGACAGGGGTGGCTGGAGTCACTCCAGTGCTCCCAACTTGTGGCCACGGCAGGGAGACGGGCAGTGCCCGTCAGCCACTGGTTCTCACATCTCCCCTGCACTCCCCCACTCACCGTGGTTGCCGTGCAGGCAAAGTTGTACTGGCACATGATGGTGAGGAAGAAGCCTGATTGAAGCTGACCGTCATGGCCACCAGCCCCTGGTGGTGACGATGTCCCACTGAATGGAGACTTCATCTTGTCAAACCGGCCTGTGGGCAGCCGGCTCAGGGCTCAGCCTGCGCCCCCGGCAGCTATGTCCTCACGCCTGAACCCCTCAATCTCTGGCCAGGCCGGATTCTCCGCACGCCTACTCCACCCACCTCAAGCCTCACCACCTTGGCGTACTCTGTTGATGGCCTGTTATACGCCATTTGTTTCGCGGCCCAGGTTGTAGTTGGGGAAGATGAGAAAGCAGTTTTCAGGTAACTGCTGGACAACCTCAAGTCCTGGAGGGTGACGGGGGGGTCACGGCACAGCCTCGCCCTGCTGCTCACCACGCCTGCCACCCCCCACACCACCTTGTCATGCTCAAAGAGCTGCAGCAGGAAAGTAGCCACTGCGTATCGCGGATGCCAATGAAGAGGCTGATGACGATGAGAAACGGGCGGAGCTGGGCACCTCGAACCAGAAGGAGGCTGGGTACATGATGGGTGATAGACCACCCGCGCGGCATGGGTGAGGTCGTCATTGGGAGCCCCGCCTCACTCCCCCAGGCTCCTCTCCTCCCAGCCCCCTCCCCTTACCCATAGAGCAGGAAGAGAGAGAGCACGGCGGGAAGTTGGTGGGTGACGGGTAGGCCGGTAACACTAACAGGGATGATGACGCAGCAGGTGGGACCAGGTAGTTAAGCTACCAGAGCAAGAGTGGCAGGTGAGGGCCCAGGAGCAGGGTGAGGGGTCCAGGAGTGGGGCTGGGGTGCTGGGGCCAGAACCAGTGGGCCTGGCCGGAGACAGGGGAGGGGACGGCAGGGGTCTAGGGGCAGAGGGAACCCCTCAGCCATGAGCACCATGTCCCAATACACGAAGTTGGCCAGCCAGATGACGGGGTTGCAGCCACTGACAAACTGTAGGTGCTTGGCTTTTTGGTCGACCAGCCACCAGGAAGACCACGGTGCTGGCTGGCACGGCGATTACGGTCAATGATGATGAAGATGGCGATGACCACATCTGTGCCTCTGCAGCCTGGGGTAGTGCAGGGGCCATCGCTCCAGCACTCAAGACTGCCCCCCCCCCACCAACACATACAGGTAATCCAGGGAGAGGCTGGCACTGTCTTGTTCATGGGGTGGTTGGTGACGCGGGGTGATGCCTGCAAGCCATGAGGGGAGGGCAGCCTCAGGGATCTGTCTCCATGCCCACCCTGCCCGCCCCCAGCCCAGCCCAGCCCAGCTTTCAGGGTTCACCATAGGCTGCCGGGTTGCCCTTGCTCCTGGGCAGGTTGGCGCACTCACAGAGAATAGCTGCTATTGAGGCTGTTGAGGTAGGTGGGCATGTGATAACCCTTGTTGTTGTAGAAAACCTGGGGAGGGACGAAAACGCCTAGAGCACCTGCAGGTCCCTGCAGCATGCCGCCTGCCACAGCTGACGCTGCAGGGCCCGCTGCTGCCACCTGGGCTGCCCTAAGCATTCCAATCTTCCTCAAGACCATGATCAGGGCCCGGCACCAAACGAGGCTGGGATGGACTTCGACGCTGGGTTAAAGGTGATGGCCCCATACCTGGGCGGTAGGTCGAGCGCGTGAGGCGCGGCAGTGGGCGGCCTGCCCTCGCCTAATAGCGTTGGCACGGTAACCCCTCACCTGACTCACCGGGTAGCCGAAAGCTGTCAGAGGTGCAGAGCAGGTACTGGAGACTGCTAGGCTGTCAGTGATGTCGGTCAGGATGTTCTCTGTGACCACCAAGATCTGGGGCGGCTTCACCCACACACCCAGGAGAAGGCCGGTGCCTGGCGCAGAGTAGGTGGTTGAAGGATAGGGCTCCGCGCGACTCAGGCGCCGTAGGGAGGGTGCTGGACGCCCAGTTGTTCAGGCGGCGCTACAGCCGGGCAGTCAGCTTAGGTCCTGCGTCGCCCCACGCTTCCCCCTCGGCAGCCTGGCGGGCCCATACCCGGCCCAGAGGTGCGGCAGGAAGCTGCCCAGGCTCGCAGGGGATCCTCCCTGGGGACACAGGGAGTCGGATGAGCAGGCAGAGGGTGGGGCTGGCACGAAGTTGGACAGCCGGGCAGCTCCCGCGTGAAGGACTCCAGGATGTTGTCAAGAACCTCAAGGGCCAGCAGCCGCGGACTGGCCATTGGTCAGATCTGGAAGGCCCCAGCGCAGCCATTGGCCGGGAGAGGACACTTCAGCACGCAGGTGGCGCCCCACGCCGACGCAGCAGCCGAACGCGGCTCACAAGCTGCTGGGGCTGGCATCCGCCACAGTCGCACTGTGGAAACCTCATGGTGAGCCCAGCTCATGGGGGAGGGGATGAGTGCCTCAGCTTCCACCTTCCCCTCTCCCCTCAGCCCGCCCCTGTCCACCACAGTTCCCAGATGGCTCACCGGGTCCTCCCGGCCAGCCCCCCCGCTGGCATAGGGATGCTAGGCTACACGGGGCTGGGCAGTTGTGGTACTGGGAGGGTGACAGGGACCAGAGGGGCAGGTCACCCGGCAGGAGAGAAACCTGAGCAGGTTCTGGACTGCCTGCTTATGCCCCAGGCCTCAGTCCCTCTTCCCACACCACAGGGCTGGGAGCTAGCCTGGGCCCCGAGGAGGCCCCAGTCCCCAGTACTCTGGCAGGCCCGCCAGGGGCCCAGAGCGGTGTCCAGAGCTGGGAAGAGCCACAGCCCCACTGCAGTGGGGCCTGGTCCCCCAGCACGCTGCCTGACCCAACGGCCATACCAACTAGGGACTGGAGAGGGCTACAGTCATGGCCACCAGGACGGAAGAAGGCGGGGAGCAGGATCTGGGAAGACAGGGCCTTGAGTTGGCGGGGCGAAAGCACAGTGGAAACGCGTCAATTCAAGAGTCCTGCGGGAACTGGCGCACTCCTTCTCTTTCAGCCACGCCTCCAGCCTCCAGCTTGCGGGCTGCCCTGGTCACACTGAGAGGGCCTCAGCTTCTGCACAGGGAGGGGGGCTGAGCACAGGTTCAAGACACACCACCCTCCAGGGACTTACCAGTCTCAGCCAGTCAGCACTCCCCCACCTGCAGGCTGAAGACGTTGTCGGGTCCCGCGTGATTGTCTAAGAGGGGTCGGTAGTCGCCATAGACATTCGCTTAGGGTGGGCTCCCCTCGCCTCACGGGTGGAGTTTGCAGGGACGCGATTGCAGTGACACCTGTGATCGGGGGGCCAGCTCTGTGTCTGTGACTGCCAATCTGCACCTTCCTCCTCTCGACCGCCTCCGCCACTGGGAGCACACCTGACTCCCTTCACATCTGCCACAGCACAGGGGGCCAGGGGGAGGGGACAGTAAATTCCCCGAGACCAGCGTGCTGCCCCCCAGTCCCCATGTCACCCACCAAGACCCTCACCCCACTCCTCACCCTGGGGCGCCTCCCACCACCCACCTACCCAGTTCTCAGCCTCCCAGAGCCAGCCTGGCAGGGAACCCTGGCACCTTGCCCCACCCAGAATCCTTTTTGGTCCCCAGAGACCAGGCTAGAGTGGGCAGACAGCTGCGGTCCGTCAGGTGGGGTGGAGCCGGGGCTCCCCACCTGCCTCACTGTTCTGAGACTGGTCCTCTCCTCTGGACACCTGAGGAACACCTCCTCCAGTGTCCATCAGCCCGGCTGCTACTCAAAGTGTAGTCCAGACTGGCGCCTCCAGATGCTGGGAAGTGCGACCAAGGGATGCGCAGGGACTCTTCAAGGCTTCGGCTTCTCTTGAGCCTCCACTCCACCACCACTAACACTACCACGCATCTCAGCCTCCGCCTCAGCTTCTGAACTCACTCCACCCCATACCTGAAGAGGCGCCAAAAGCCCTTCTTTCATGCCTGCAGGATGGAGAGTTCTGTGCTCTGTCGAGACTAGCAGGAGGGCCACGCGTTGCTTTCATGGATGAACTGGGAGACCTGGGGCTCTGAGCAGCTGCTCAGCTGGGTGCGGCCTGGGGGGCTGGACGTCAGCCCCGGAAGTAGGGAGGCGGGAATGAGAAAGAGCTCACCAGGTGGGGCTGGGTCCTTCAATGGGGGAGCCCAGCCAGGTCAAGAGGAGGACCGAGGAGAGGGACCAGGCACCCCAGGCTCACTAAGGTAAGCCTTGAGGGCCCGCCCCTCGAGCTCACTGGTCTTGGAAAGGGGGTCCTGGGAGAGGGGGACCCCAGGCCGGCTCAGGCAGTCTCAGCACAGACCTTGGGGGTCCCCAGGCTCAGCAGGCCGCTTGACCAGAGTAAGGCGGTAACCGTCCCCATAGGCGCCCTTGAGGAAGAGCGGGGAGCCGCAGCACTTGAGTTTCCCATGGGAGATGATGGCTATGCGGTCCCCCAGCAGGTCGGCCTCGTCCATGTGGTGGGTGGACAGCAGGATAGTGCGGCCTGGAGGGGGGTGAGGGACCAGGCTCAGGGCGCTGGGCTGGGTGGGGCCGGCCGGGGCCGCCTGTACCCACCCCACGCTCGGCTCACCCGGCTTGTACTTCAGGATGAGGTCCCAGATGGCTCGGCGCGCGTAGGGGTCCACGCCGGCGGTGGGCTCGTCCAGGATGATGGCGCGGGAGCCGCCCACGAAGGCGATGGCCACGGAGAGCTTGCGCTTCATGCCGCCGGACAGCGTCTGCACCAGCGAGTGCCGCTTGTTGGACAGCTCCAGGTCTTCGATCATTCTGCGGGCAGGGCGGCGCATGTAGGGGCACACGCGCATGTAGGGGCGCACGCGGGCTCCCGCCACCGCCCCGGAGCCCCGCCCCCACCCCACCCACTTGTCCATCTCCTTGCGGATCTCCTCCTGGGCCCTGCTCTTGAGCCTCGAGTAGAACCAGAGATGCTCCTCCACCGTGAGCCGGTCAAAGAGCACGTTGTGCTGCGGACACATGCCCAGGTTCTTGCGGATCTCGTCCATCTCCGTGCGGATGTCGTGCCCGTAGATGGTGGCCGAACCCGAGGTCGGCGGGAACAAGCCCGTGAGGATGGACCTGGGCGGGTGGGCAGGGTCACGACCCCCACCTCCTGCCGGGAGCCCCACCCTGCTGCCCACCTGGTGAGGACCCACCCCCTGCACTGACACTCACATGGTCGTTGTCTTGCCAGCCCCGTTGTGTCCCAGGAAGGACACCACCTGGTTCTCGTAGAGGTTCAGGCTCAACCTGTTTAAGGCCAGCTTCTTATCGTTCTTGTAGACCTTGGTGAGCTTGTCCACACAGACCACCAGCGGCAGGTGGGTGGGCTCCTCCTCCATGCCCCGCGTCTCCTCTGCAAGAGGGCCGCGGGTCAGCTGAGGACGCCCCGGGGTCCCCCAACCCCAGTGACTGCCCCAGCCGCCCCCTGGGTGCCCGCCTCACCCAAGCGCCGGCTCTCCATGGCACAAGCCTGGTCCTCCTCCATGACGCTGAGCCGGGGGGCGCGAGCCCATGGCCAGGTCCACTCCCACGCCTCTGTGCGCCCGCTGCCGAGCCAGTAGGACTTCTGCAGTGGGAAGTACCAGGGCCGGGGTAGCCCGTACATGCCTAGGGGTTGGGGGGGTGGTGCAGAAGGCAGGCTGACCCAGGGCCTGGTGTCAGGTCCACCCCAGGCCATGTGCACCCCCTAGGGAGCCACACACCCTCTCCTTTCCCCCTGCAAAGGGTCAGCTGGTACCTGGGTGCACCGCCTCGATGTACCACGTGAGCACCCCGTAGACGGCCGCGTCCACCATCAACATGGTGACGGCCAGGAGCAGGTTGAAGTCATCACCTTCCACAGGCGACTGACTGAACGTGTGCCACTGGATGCCCACACCTGCCACCTCGTACAGGGCAAAGTACTTGGAGCCCAGGCCGAAGGCTGTTGTGGACATCAGGGACTGAGGGCACAGTGGTGTCAGCGGGGGAAGGAGGATGGACCCCGCCCCACTCCCAACCATCCCGATCCTCACCGCGATGCACTTCTCAAAGGCGGTAATCTTATCGTGGGCCACCTCCTCGCGGATCGCCACGTACATGTAGGGCACGTAGCTCAGGAAGTAGATGATGCCACCGCAGGCCGAGGCCAGCTTGGCCTTGGAGTACAGCACAGACACCAGGAAGCTAGGGTGGGTGGGGCCACGGCCATCAGCCACACCCGACCCTTAGGGCACAGCCCAAAGCCCTCCTGGCGCCACCTCCCGGGGTACAGAGGAGCTCCAGAAGGGCTGTTTCTGTGTTTTCTGGGTGAATGCAAGAGGCACTCTGCCAGGGCCCAGCAAGGCTCCCTGCCAGCCCCCTGCCAGCCCCATGGTGCTCACCAAAACATGATGGTGGCCACAGCGTAGACCGCCAGGAAGAGCCAGATGATAAGCACGTGACTGTGCATGAGAACCTGGCCGTACTTGAGGATGGCCGTGAGGGCCGTCACAGAGATGGAGAGCTGCACAAAGCCCGTGATGAACCAGGCCACCCAGTGCACGGCGTTGTTCAGGCCC